TTTTGGGGGGGGTTTTGGTTTTTTGGGGGGGGATTTTGGTTTTTTTGGGGTTTTTGGGGGGATTTTTGGGGAATTTGGGAGGAAATTCTTGGGGGTTTTTGGGGGGATTTTGTGGTTTTTTGGGGAAGTTTTGGGCGGATTTCGGATTTCTTGAGGTTTTTTGGTTTCTTTTTTTTTTAAGATTTTATGTGGAATTTTTGGGGAGTTTTTTTTTGGGATTTGGGTTTTTTGGAGGGGATTTTTTTTTTTAGATTTTGGAGGGATTTTTTGGGGGATTTTTGGAAAGGATTTTTGGAGATTTTTTGGAGGATTTGGGGGGTTTTTTTTTTTTGGTTTTGGGTTTTTTGGGGGGGGATTTTGGTTTTTTTGGGGTTTTTGGGGGGATTTTTTTGGGGATTTTTGGAAAGGATTTTTGGAGATTTTTTGGAGGATTTGGGGGTTTTTTTTTGGAGGGGGATTTTTGGAGATTTTGGGGGTTTTTTGCTGCTGATTTTTCCCCCCAGGTGCGCTGGCGCTGCAGCTGGACCCCGAATCGTACAGGTGAGCTGGGAGTGACCCCGAAATGACCCCAAAAATGACCCCAAAAATTACCCTAAACTGGGCCTAAAATGACCCCAAAACTGACCCCAAAACTGGCCCAAAAATGAACCAAAAACGGCCCAAAAATGACCCCAAACTGGGCTAAAACTGACCCAAAACTGACCCTAAATCCGACTTAAAACTGAGCCAAAACTGATCCTATAACTGACCCTGAAACATGCAAAAAATTGGCCCAAAACTGACCCAAAACTGACCCAAAATGCCCCAAAAATGACCCTAAAACCGACCTAAAACTGACCCAAAACTGACCCTAAAACACCCCAAAAATTGGCCCAAAAATGCCCCAAAACCGACCCCAAAACTGATCCTAAAATTGATCCTAAACTGATCCTAAACTGACCCTAAAACACCCCAAAAATTGGCCCAAAAATGCCCCAAAACCGACCCCAAAACTCATCCTAAAATTGACCCCAAAACTGATCCTAAACTGACCCTAAAACACCCCAAAAATTGGCCCAAAACCGACCCCAAAATGCCCCAAAAATCACCCTAAAACTGACCCCAAATTGACCCCAAAACCCCAAAATGCACTGACCCCAAAAATGGCCCAAAACTGACCCCAAACTGGGCCAGAACTGACCCCAAATTGACCCCAAAACTGACCCCAAAATGCCCCAAAAATCACCCTAAAACTGACCCCAAATTGACCCCAAAACTGACCCTAAACTGACCCTAAAACACCCCAAAAATTGACCCTAAACTGACCCTAAAACTGACCCTAAACTGACCCCAAATTGACCCCAAACCTGACCCTAAACTGACCCTAAAACACCCCAAAAATTGACCCTAAACTGACCCTAAAACTGACCCTAAAAATGACCCAAAACTGACCCCAAAACACCCCAAAAATCGGCCCAAAACTGACCCAAAAATTGGCCCAAAAATGACCCAAAACTCACCCCAAACTGGTCCAGAACTGACCCAAAATTGACCCCAAATTGACCCCAAAAATGACCCTAAAACTGACCCCAAAAATGGCCCAAAACTGACCCCAAACTGGGCCAGAACTGACCCCAAATTGACCCCAAAACTGACCCCAAAATCAACCCCAAAATGCCCCAAAAATGACCCTAAAACTGACCTAAAACTGACCCAAAACTGACCCTAAAACACCCCAAAAATTGGCCCAAAACTGACTGAAAACTGACCCTAAACTGACCCCAAATTGACCCCAAAACTGACCCTAAACTGACCTAAATTAACCCCAAAACTGACCCTAAAACACCCCAAAAATTGGCCCAAAACTGAGCCCAAAATGCCCCAAAAATGACCCAAAACGAGCCCCAGTTCCCTCCCAGTCCCTCCCAGTACAAACCAGTAACACCAATCCCCCATTAACTCTTTCCCAGTCCACCCAAAATTGACGTAAAACTGATCCTAAACTGGGCCAAAACTGACCCAAAACTGACGCCTAAAACTGACCCTAAAACACCCCAAACTGACCCAAAACTGAACCTAAAAATGGCCCAAAAATGACCCTAAAACCGACCTAAAACTGACCCCAAATTGACCCTAAAACACCCCAAAAATTGGCCCAAAAATGGCCCAAAAATGCCCCAAAACACCCCAAAAACTGACCCCAAATTGACCCCAAAACACCCCAAAAACTGACCCAAAACTGAGCCCAAAATGCCCCAAAAATGACCCAAAAATGACCCAAAACGAGCCCCAGGTCCCTCCCAGTCCCTCCCAGTACAAACCAGTAACCCCAGTTTGCCCAGCGCGTGTCTCCAGCTGGCCCAGTTGCAGCTGCGGGTCCGGGAGGCCTTGGCCGAGCGCGAGCGGCTGCTGCAGGCCCGGGTAGGGGGCGTGGCCTGGGGTGGGCGTGGCCTGGTGGGCGTGGCCTGGTGGGCGTGGTTTGCGTGGGTGTGGTCCTGGTGGGCGTGGTCCTGGCGGGTGTGGTCATTGTGGGGGTGGGCGTGGCCTAAAATGTGACATTTTGATGATGTAATGCATTATAAAGGTGTGGTTTATTCATTTTGTGGGCGTGGCTTAATGGGGTGTGGTCTTTTGTGGGCGTGGTTTACGTGGGTGTTGTTTAGTGGGTGTGGTCAAAGGGGGGGGCGTGGCTTCAATTCCTCCTCCCCCCCCACTCAGGAGGCTCGAAAAGCTGCCAAGGCTCCGCCCACCACGGACACGCCCATTTCTGATGAGGCCCCGCCCACTCCAGCAGAGGAAACGCCCCCTCCAGCTCAGGCCACGCCCCCTCCTGAGGTGACCCCGCCCCCTCAAGGATTGGATTTTGGGGGGGGGAATTTTGGGGAGATTTTTGGGAAGATTTTGGGGGAATTTTGGGAAGATTTTGGGGGAATTTTGGGGAATTTTGGGAGGATTTTTGGGTGGATTTGGGTGGAATTTTTTGGAGATTTTTAAAATTTTATTGGGGATTTTTATGAAGATTTTTTGAGGATTTTGGGGAGATTTTTGGGTGATCTTTGGGAGATTTTGGAGTGGATTTTTTGGGGGTTTTTTTTGGTTTTTAGGGGGATTTATGGGAGGGGTTTATGAACGTTTTTTGTGAATTTTGGGGAGATTTTAGCAGGATTTTTCCGGAGATTTTTGGATTATTTTTTGAGAGATTTTGGAGGGATTTTTTTTTTTGCATTTTAGGGGGATTTATGGGGGGATTTTATGAACATTTTTTGTGAATTTTTGGGAGATTTTAGGGGGATTTATGGCGGGATTTTATGAACATTTTTTGTGAATTTTTGGGAGATTTTAGGGGGATTTATGGCGGGATTTTATGAACATTTTTTGTGAATTTTTGGGAGATTTTAGAGGGATTTTGGGCAGATTTTTGGGAGAGATTTTTGGGAGAGATTTTGCAGGAGATTTTGGGGGGATTTTCTTTGTATTTTAGGGAGATTTTATGAACATTTTTTATTAATTTTGGGGAGACTTTGGATGGATTTTTGGGTGGATTTTGTGTGGATTTTGTGGAAATTCCGGGGGCTTTTAGGGGCATTCATGGGGGGCATCATTTTGGGGAATATTTTGGTGTTTCCTACCCCAATTTTTCAACCATTAACTCATTTTTTTGGGGGGTTCCAGCCCGACCTCCTCTGCGCCCTCCGAGCCCGCGGCCACCGTCCCGAGGCCGTCGGGGGCCTGTGGATTTTGGGGGGGTCCCTGAGGGGTCCCCTCACCAAGATGGGGGGACGCATCAAGACCTGGCGGCGCCGCTGGTTCCACCTGGACCCCCAGAGGAGGGTCCTGGCCTATTATGGGGGTACCGAGGGGGGGGGATTTGGGGGTCCAGGGTGGGTTTGGGAGCGTTTTGGGGAGGCAAATTGGGGTCACTAAAGGGGATTTGGGGGGTATGGGGTGAATATTTGGGGGTCTGGGGGCATTTTGGGGAGATATGGGGGCGTGTAGAGCCCAATATGGGTGGATTTTAGGGTGGATTTGGGGCATTTTGGGGAGAAATATTGGGGTATAGGGGATGGGGGGTCTCTGGGGGTGGGTTTTGGGGTCCTCTCACCCTTCCCACACCCCCCAGACCAAGCACAAACGAAGCTCAAGGGCGTCATCTACTTCCAAGCCATCGAGGAGGTTTGGTACGACCCGGGCCGCGTGGCCGGAAAGGTGAAAATAAATCAATTTAAAAATTTGTGGGTTTTTCGGAGGGAGCCCTCATGGCTCCCAAAAGGTGGAAGCGTCATGGCTGACCCCAAAAACGCCTCCCCAGAGCCCAAACCCGCGCCTCACCTTCTGCCTCAAGACCTACGAGCGCCTGTTCTGGCTGGTGGCACCCAGTGCCGAAGCGTTGAGGATCTGGATGGACGCTGTGCTCACCCTGACCCGCGGCGCTGGTGCCTTCTGACCCGTTTTTCCTTCATGTTTCCCTTTTTCCTTCATGTTTTCCCTTCATATTTCCCTTTTCCCCTCCTATTTCCCTTTTCCCTTCATGTCTTCCCTTCATATTTCTCTTTTCTCCTCATATTTCCCTTTTCCCTTCATGTTTTCCCCTCATATTTCCCTTTTTCCCCTTTTCTCCTCATATTTCCCTTTTCCCTTTATGTTTTCCCCTCATATTTCCCTTTTCCCCTCACGATTTCCCACCATTTTTTCCCCCCTCAGGTTTTCCCGCCTTTTTTCCCCTCACATTTCCTGCCCTTTTCCCCTCTAATTTTTGGCCTTTTCCTCTCATGTTTTCCTGCTCTTTTTTCCCCTCACATTTTTGACCCCTTTTCCCCCTCATGTTTCCCTTTTCCCCTCACATTTCCTGCCATTTTCTCCTCACATTTCCCTCCATTTTCTCCTCATATTTCTCTTTTCCCTTCATATTTCCCACCCTTTCCCCTCGTATTTCCCTTTTCCCTTCATGTTCTCCCCTCATATTTCTCTTTTCCCCTCATATTTCCCATTTTCTTTCATGTTTTCCCCTCATATTTCCCTTTTTCCCTCACGATTTCCCACCATTTTTCCCCCTTCATGATTTCCCGCCATTTTTCCCCCCTCAGGTTTTCCCGCCTTTTTTCCCCTCACATTCGCCGCCATTTTCTCCCCTCACATTTCTCTGCCATTTTTTCCCTCAGGTTTTCCTGCCTTTTTCCTCTCATATTTCCCTTTTCCCCTCATATTTCCCTTTTCCCTTCACGTTTTCCCCTCATATTTCCCTTTTCCCCTCATGTTTTCCCACCATTTTCCCCCCTCAGGTTTTCCCGCCTTTTTTCCCCTCACATTTCCCTCCATTTTCTCCTCATATTTCTCTTTTCCTTTCATATTTCCCACACTTTCCCCACATATTTCCCTTTTCCCTTCATGTTCTCCCCTCATATTTCTCTTTTCCCCTCATATTTCCCATTTTCTTTCATGTTTTCCCCTCATATTTCCCTTTTTCCCTCACGATTTCCCACCATTTTTCCCCCTTCATGATTTCCCGCCATTTTTCCCCTCACGTTTGCCGCCATTTTCTCCCCTCACATTTCTCTGCCATTTTTTCCCTCACGTTTTCCTGCCTTTTTCCTCTCATATTTCCCTTTTCCCCTCATATTTCCCTTTTTCCTTCATCTTTTCCCCTCATATTTCCCTTTTCCCCTCAGGTATTCCCACAATTTTCCCCTCATGTTTCCCTTTTCCCTTCATGTTTTCCCCTCACGTTTCCCCTCAAATTTTTGGCCTTTCCCCCTCATGTTTCCCACCCTTTTTCTCCTCATATTTCTGCCCCTTTTCCCCTCAAATTTTTGGCCTTTTCCTCTCATGTTTCCCTCTATTTTCTCCCCTAAAATTTCCCTTTTCCCCTCATGTTTTCCTGCCTTTTTTCACCGCACATTTTCCTGCCATTTCCCCCCCACATTTCCCTCCATTTTCTCCCCTCATGTTTCCCGCCATTTTCCCCTCAAATTTTTGGTCTTTTCCCCTCATATTTCCCTTTTCCCCTCACATTTTCCCCTCTTTTTCCCCTCATGTTTTTCTTCCATTTTCCCCTCACATTTCCTGCCCTTTTCCCCTCAAATTTTTGGTTTCTTCCCCTCATGTTTCCCACCCTTTTCACCTCATATTTCCCTTTTTTCCCCTCATATTTCCCTTTTTTCCCCTCATATTTCCCTTTTTTCCCCTCACATTTCCTTTCTTCCCCTCATGTTTCCCACCCTTTTCACCTCATATTTCCCTTTTTTCCCCTCATATTTCCCTTTTTTCCCCTCACATTTCCCTTTTTTCCCCTCATTTTTTCCTTTTTTCCCCTCATTTTTTCCTTTTTTTCCCCTCATATTTCCCTTTTTTCCCCTCACATTTCCTGCCTTTTTCCCTCATTTTCCTTCAATTTTCCACCATTTTCCCCTCAAAATCCACCCCAAACTGGGACCCCCCCCGACCTTTACTGGGAGCACTGGGACCTTCTGGCTCCGCCCCCTTTTTGTATTTATTAAAGGGTTTTTGGGATAAAATCTCCTTTTTTGGTCATTTTGGGGAAGGGGGGGTTGTGGGAGAGGGTCACATTTCCCTTTTTTCCCCTCATTTTTTCCTTTTTTCCCCTCATTTTTTCCTTTTTTTCCCCTCATATTTCCCTTTTTTCCCCTCACATTTCCCTCCATTTTCCCCCCACATTTCCCTCCATTTTCCCCCCAAATTTCCCTTCATTTTCCCCTCATTTTCTCTCAATTTTCCACCATTTTTCCACCATTTTCCCCTCAAAATCCACCCCAAACTGGGACCCCCCCCGACCTTTACTGGGAGCACTGGGACCTTCTGGCTCCGCCCCCTTTTTGTATTTATTAAAGGGTTTTTGGGATAAAATCTCCTTTTTTGGTCATTTTGGGGAAGGGGGGGTTGTGGGAGAGGGGCTGGCTGAGCCCTAATGAGGTTTTGCTAATTATGTTTATTAATTACAGTGGATAAAATTTAGCATTATTAAAATTATTATAAAAGTAGGTGATTATATAGGTATTTATGACTTAAGGGTAATGTAATAATTAGAGTAATAATAATATGAGAAATAGAATTAAAAATAGAATTTAAAATAGAATTAGAAAACATATGAAAAAATATAATTAAAAATAGAATTAAAAATAGAATTTAAAAATATATGAAAAAATAGAGTTAAAAATAGAATTAAAAATAGAATTAAAAATAGAATTAAAAATAGAATTTAAGAATATATGAAAAAATAGAATTAAAAATAGAATTAAAAATAGAATTTAAAAATATATGAAAAAATAATAGAATTAAAAATGGAATTTAAAATAGAATTAAAACTGGAACAAAAAGTAGAACAAAAAGTAGAACAAAAAATTTTGAAAAATATTATGAAAATTAATGAAAACCACCAAAAAACCCAACAAAAAACACACTGAAAAACAATTTAAAACCAATTAAAATCTATCTCATAATTAATCCAAAAATTAACAATTTTTTATCACCAAATTCCCCTCAAAAATCTGAATTTTCCCCCAAAAAACAACTCCGTCACCGGCGCTTAAGCCACACCCATTTATTGCGAAACAAGCCCCGCCCTCAGCGGAGGAGGGGCAGCAGCAGGAAGGGGAGGAGCCACCCGGGCCCGCCCAGCGATTGGCCCCGCCCCACCGGGCCCTTGATCCCGTCCTTGCGCCCCATTGGCCGCCTGGGAGCCACGTGACCGGCAGCCATCTTGTCTCCGTCAGCCATCTTGTCACCAGCAGCCATCTTGTCCCCGTCAGCCATCTTGTCCCCGTCAGCCATCTTGCCCCCGTCAGCCATTTTGTCACCATCAGCCATTTTGTCCCCGTCAGCCATCTTGTCTCTGTCCGCCATCTTGTCTCCGTCAGCCATCTTGCCCCTGGTGACCATCTTGCCACCGGCGGCCATCTTGTCCCCGTCAGCCATCTTGCCGCTGGTGACCATCTTGCCACCGGCAGCCATCTTGTCCCCGTCAGCCATCTTGTCCCCATCAGCCATCTTGCCCCCATCAGCCATCTTGCCCCCGGCAGCCATCTTGCCACCCGCAGCCCTCTTGCCACTGGTGGCCACGTCACGCTCGGGCGCGGCCGTTCCGGCATCACCAGCACCCGCGTGGTCGCCGGCGGCCATATTGGCCCCACCACCGGCGGCCATCTTGCCGCGGGTGCCATTTTGCCCGCCACCCTCCGCCGTGGCGTTATCGGGCGCGGCCGTGGGGGCGTGGCCGTGCGGCAGCAGCTCCAGCCGGGGCAAATCGGGCGAGAACAAGCTTCTGTCGGCCATCTTGTCGTTGCAGAGGTCGCCGCGGCAACAGGACCCGCTGAGCGACGCCGCGTCGTCGCCGCGCCGCTCGGGGGCGCAGCCGCCATCGGGGACGCAGCCCCGCAGCTCCCGCCAAAAGGTGCGGTTACCTGCGAGGTGGGGGGGGCGGGGTTAACGCACCTGGGCGCGGCCACGCCCAGAAGGGGGCGGGGTTTCCGGGGCTGACCTGCGCGCAGGGTGATGTTGCCGTGGAAACAGGCGCGGAGGTCGCCGTAGCAGTGGACGATGGCGGTCGGGGGGCAGGGCCCGCTCTCGGGGCAGCCATAGCAGCGCAGGCCGTTGGGGGAGGGGTCGGTGGTGTTGGCTGGGGGGGGGGGGGAGGGGTCGCCCCGTACCGGGCAGGGGCGGCTCCCGCTGCCCCCCCAGGGGCAGTTCCCCGTTGCAGCCCGCCCCGGGGCAGTTGCGGCGCCGCTCGAAGGCCACGAGGCCGGGCAGCTGCAGGGCCCTGGCCAGAGCCCCCGGCTGCCCCCGGCCGCAGCCGCGCCAGCCCAGCGTCCACTGCCCGTGGCCTGGGGGTCAAAGGTCAGAGGAGCGGTCATTTTGGGGCATTTTGGGGCATTTTTGGGTCATTTTGGGGTGATTTGGGGTCATGGGGACAGCGCCCCCTGCTGGCCGCATTTTGGGGCATTTTGGGGCATTTTGGGGCATTTTGGGGTGATTTGGGGTCATTGGACAGCGCCCCCTGGTGGCCGCGGCCGCAGCCTGGGGGGTCAGAGGTCACGGGAGTGGTTATTTTGGGTCATTTTGGGGTCATTTTTTTGTCATTTTGGGTCATTTTGGGTCATTTTTTGGTCATTTTGGGGCATTTTTGGTCATTTTGGGGCATTTTTGGTAATTTTTGGGTCATTTTGGGGTCATTTGTGGTGATTTGGGTCATTTTTGGGTCATTTGGGGTAATTTGGGTCATTTTTGGTCATTTTGGGGCATTTGGGGTGATTTGGGGTCATTGGACAGCGCCCCCTGCTGGCCATGGCTGCGGCCAGTCCAGCCCAGCGTCCACTGGCCGTGGCCTGGGGGTCAAAGGTCAGAGGAGCGGTCATTTTTGGGTCATTTTGGGACTTTTTGGGTCATTTTGGGGACATTGGGAGGGGATTGGGAGGGGCTGAGAAAGGGCTCAGGGGGTTTACTGGTTTATACTGGTCCATACTGGTCTATACTGGTTTACACTGGTCCGTACTAGTCGTCATCGTCGCCGCAGCTGAGGCAGCGCAGCGCCCGCGAGCCTGACCCACAGATCAGATCCACCCCATAGATCCTGCCCCATAGAGCTCTGCCCCATAGATCCCTGCCCCATAGATCCCTGCCCCATAGATCACTGCCCCATAGAATCCTGCCCCATAGCGCTCTGCCCCATAGAGCTCTGCCCCATAAACCCTGCCCCACAGATCACTGCCCCATGGATCCCTGCCCCATAGATCCCTGCCCCACAGATCCCAGCCGCCGTCGTCATCGTCACCGCAGCTGAGGCAGCGCAGCGCCCGCGAGCCTGACCCATAGATCAGATCCACCCCATAAACCCTGCCCCATAGATCAGATCCACCCCATAGATCCCTGCCCCATAGATCCCTGCCCCATAGAGCTCTGCCCCATTGAGCCCTGCCCCATAGATCAGTGACCCATAGATCAGGGACCCATAGATCCCTGCCCCATAGAACCCTGCCCCACAGATCACTGCCCCATAGAGCTCTGCCCCATAGAGCCCTGCCCCATAGATCAGGGACCCATAGATCCCTGTCTAATAGATCCCTGCCCCATAGATCAGTGCCCCACAGATCCACCCCATAAATCCCTAACCCATAGATCCTTCACCCCATAAACTGCCCCATAGATCAGTGACCCATAAATCCCACCCTATAGAGCCCTGACCCCCTAAACTGCCCCATAGATCCCTGACCCCATCAACTGCCCCATAGAGCCCTGACCCCATAAATGCCCCATAGATCAATGCCCCATAGATCCCTGCCCCATAGATCCCTGACCCCATAAAAGCCCCAGAGATCCTTTACCCCATAAATCAGTGCCCCACAGATCCCTGCCCCATAGATCC